CACCTGGCACACTGTCAGGTATGTTGAGTAGCAATGCCCGGCGTGGATATTAGATCACGTGTACTGGGGGAGAGGATGGGGTGCAGAGGCGGTTGTAGGGGAGGGGACTGTTGGTCGGTCCGGATACAGCTCAGGGGGCACGGATTGAGGCAAGATAGAGGAATGGAACGAGGGGCTGGCGAGGAGTAAGGGACGACTAGTAGTGATAGTGGTCGGGAGGAGTGGAAGGGCCGGGAGGGGCGGAAGGGAGGGGGGCGTCCAGATGCCGCTCTGCAAGGAGGGCTTGGGGACAGAATAGAGGAGGCGGACAATCTTATTTATGAAGCTGATGCTTAGGTAAAATTGAGAGCTGTCAGCTTTGCCTAAACATCAGCTACTCGACCTTGCTGCTTTACCTCAACTTCAGATTCACCGTTTTCGCTCTCAGCTTTATAGATGGGGAAGTCCTCTACTGATGGCGGCTTTTCATTTGCTTTTCTTGCTTTTGCTTCCTTGCTTCTACTTTTTTCTTGCTTCCCTCCTTTCCACACATCACCCACTCCCCTCCCTCTCACGTGGCCTAGGCAACTGCCAAGGAATCTACGCCACATGGCCCGTCCACCCACCCACCCCAACCCCCTCTCCTTGCCTCGAATCCCCGCGCGCGAAAGCCGCACACACCACCCCTTTCACACCCACCCCAACCCCTTCCCCATGTCTTGAATCCTACAGCCTAAAAATACGCTTATGCATTGCCAAGCCTCCCCCTCCTGTACCCTCTGGGGTGCATCTCCTTCCAAGCCCTTCCCATATTCCGCATATCCGTGGCAAAAACTGGCAGCAAGGTCCTCCTTCTTGCCGCCCATCACCCCCTCCCCTCTCCCCTACGTGGCCACGCCACGTCACTACTCAATCTACCCAACCAACCCCACCCCTCCTGCCACTATCCCCAACCTCTCCGCCCGGATCCGCACACAAAGTTCCCCTCCACTATCACCCCATCTGCAGCATCCAGCGCTCTGTGCCGTAGCGGGGTACGGAAAACTGAAGAAATCGGACGCAGACCGTATGAGTCGAGTCGTGTTTTAGTAACTGCTTGTATGATTACAGTAAATTTAGTATAAAGGGGAATGAAAGATCATTGGCGATACGCACCGGGGTGATCCATGCGGTCATGCGTTTTTGCAGTATTTCATGTTGCAGTAAGATCGCATGAAATCCCAGTAGCTAGAATTTGTGACATGCTGGTCCTTGATTTTCAAGAGGTTAATTGTGCAACCAAATGGCACTTGGACAGGGAGCACTCCGTTAAAATTTCGGCCTCCCAGCTTTCCTGGTTCCTGAGTTAGTTATTTCCCCCTCCCCCCAAAAGTTTCACGGGATCCTACGTGAGAACCACGCACACCTGGGGGCTGAATTTGAAATCTTCACGTTCTACGTGGACGGGAAACATTCCCTCAAACTCTCATTTTCATTTCTTTTCTAGTTCCCGAGTTAGCGAATTTCCCATCAAAACTTTCGCTTGCTCGTACGCTTTGGGCCCAGGCGTGCATGAAGGTTGGTGCCGCAGTCCTGGGGTGGTACTTGACCGCGAAACCCACTGGCAAAATTTTAGCGCCGGAGCTTGCTTGACCCGGACAGACGCATACACACGCACACACACACACACACATACGCACATACACACACACACAAACACTCGCACACCGGGGTCGTCACAACATGCGCTTTTGCATTTGCATATATGCAAAATTGCGTAATTAGCTGCTACCGGTCGTTCATTGACGTAGGCTGGAACGCACCAGGCGAGCCGGAGCGATCATGCGTTTTTGCACAAAACTTGAATT